CACGTAGGGCTTTCATTTGCAGCGGAAAAAACATACACGGGGTCACCGAAATGGCAATACAGCATGTTAAGTAATCTTAAGAAAGCGTTGTTTACTAAAACAACGCGATTGTTTAGAGAACGCAATCGATAATATGCAACACGAGAGAAAATTCGTACAAATAAAAGTGATTATCAAACATAGACTAAACAATCAGAAGCGGCAAAGTAAAAAAAGGGTCGTACTTTTACTTAAAGACAAATTATAATCAATCCTTGTTTCTATGCACATTTTATTAACTTGTACATATTTAAGCGCATGATGATTGAGATTGGCATTAATAGAAAATAATATATAACAAACACATTTTATTTAAAAATTACAGAAAAGCTGTCTAAAATACATGGTTATATAACGTACATGTTTTCTTCTACTAATAGTAAACATAGTTTAATTTTATTTCTTCTCTTTTGTCAATTCCATCTTTTCTAATTCCGAAAATGGTATATCCATATCGAAAGATCCGAATTCGTTCTTCTGGCGAAGCGTAAGGCATGTGTCCTTAACGTGAGTCATATACCCTTCAATCTTGAAGCCATTAGAATGTACCACCGTACATTTTACACCGCGTGGTTTCTGCTCCTTTGAGCTCCCTGCTCTCTCAGCCATTGTTCTACAGGCACAACAAAAATATCATTTACAGCAAGCAACTACAGAAATGTTCGTGATTATATAATAAATACCTGGTTTGCTTATTCATGTCCGATAGACTAATTATCGCCCTCGAGGAAGACTGTTCTGATGAACTTTGCTTTGTTTTAACTCCAAATGAGTCCGCGAAACTGTTCTAAGTTCAATTATTGAAAGAAAGAGTACGATTTTTACTGATAAATGAGCCATGTTGCCGAATTACACTTGCACTTGGAAAATGGCAATATTGCATTTCATAAAAAATACAACCCTTTTCTATCAAGAGGAATCAGAAAGTATAAAAACATTTAAGATCAAATACTTGGATAACAAACTTTGTAATTTATTTGCAATAATAATATAGAAAATAATATTGATTTTATAAAATAAAATTGAGTTCGAATAAAAAAAAATCAATTTAGTGAAAAATCCCTACCGTATTGGATTTTTCACTAGTCTTATACGAATCAGTAAAAATATATATTTAGATTTGTTTTTTTTTTAATTTATTTAATAGAATTTGAAGTAACAAACAAAATGCACAGCGACATCTCCAAACTAGACGCAAAGGCGATTATGAGAAGATGTGTTGCATATGGAATTTGGTAACTGAAGGGATTACGTAAAAAAAAGAATGAGAACCGAGAGCGTCGTGCATATTTCATTAAAACTCATATAGGTGCGCTGATTCGCATCGATTTTATTCGGTTGTTTGTTTTCGGTTTTCCATGCTTTTTGGTTTAAGCTAATGCAGCAAAAGTAATTCATATTGCGAATATAACTGCCAGGACATGTTTATATTTTATTCAAGCTATTGGCCTGGGTATTCTCACGTAGCAGCAGGATTATAAGATGGCAGTGAGCAAATCGAGCATAGAACATTTTCGTATGATATTTATGGATCTCAATCGATGCCATCGCCATCAAATATTTTCCGCCTCCGGGTAAGATTATTTATCTTCTGTCGAATAGACAGGACCGTTATTAATGAATAATATAGGAGACGGCATTCCGAAGAAAAACCGTATTCATTCTGGGGGGAAAAAAAAAATTGGACTGAACTAAATAGAATATGAACTTTGCTCCTAGCGTTTCTCTTTTTTTATCTTTTTCCTCTTCCTTTCTACTAGAATAGTTAAGTTTCAGTTGAACAAAGAGTGGAAGGCTTGTGTCCTTTTCCCGGTAATAAAAATTGTACCACGGCGGAGCGTAGAATCCTATTTTTTTTTTTGGAAAACGGCAAATTTTTCGGCGCGAATTGATTATTCATTACGCAATGCCGCGGCGGCACTATTAAAACGCCCCCCATAAATGGACTACTTCTGTCAAGTTTGTTGTCCAACTTTCGCCCTGGCTCATCAAAAATGTATGCGCTAACTTTATAATTCACGAACTTCTTTTTGGCCACAGTTCTACATCAACGTTGCTCCTTTCATTTTATTTTTTTTTGTCCTTCTTTATTTTCGTATTTCTGTTTTCATTTTATTTCTTGTTTAAATCTCATGAAATACTTCATCCTTCTTTGTCCCTTACATTGTTAAAAAGGCATGTTTAATGGTATTCAATTCCTCTTTGGATTTGCTGATACAGGTTCGAGGACGAACGGTCCCGCGGACTCCTGCTATACTCATCATCCCAGTTCATGGATAAATTATTAGTTTTCCGCGCGCTACACGTCGCTGCGCGCAATTAATATGAATTACAGTTTAATTGGATTCCGAAGCCCCCGTTCCGCATCATCCGACCCATCCCAATTATCCATTATTAATTAACACATATTACATTTCAATTAACTTTCATCGGAGCCAAACCAAAACAACGCTAACCTACGACCCCGATGTCAGTAGACACCTTTCATGATCTTCCCAAGCTTTAATTAATAAAGCACACGGGCATCACATTAATTGGCGGTTTCAATTAACTCTAAAAATTGAATGCGTTTTACAACAGTTCGTTCCAGCTGCTGCTACTGCTGTTACTACTACTACTACTAATTGCTGATCATTATTGCATTCAATTAGCGGAATATGCGGAATTGCAAACAGTCGTAAATTCAATATTGGACGTACGCAAATAAATTAACACGCTATACACTTTTTGGGAGTATTTCTCAAACATTGCCGGATCGAACACCGAATGTACATATTGAAAATAAACCAATATAATATATTAATTTAGTGTAATGTAACTTTTATTTACTCGAGTAAATTCATTTCAATATAAAAACTATATTAATACTAAAACCTGATTTTGTTTTAGTATTTCAAAATTATAACAATTTTTATGAATATTCGAGAAAACTATACAATTTAATGATTCTGTTGATACTCGAGGTATAATCTTTCATTGTTCCAAATTTGACAACTAATTACTCAAAGTCCAAAAATTTCATTACGAAGACGAAAGCCTTCAAGATGAGGTGGGTTGCGACGTCTTCCAGTGACTAACGACCAAACAATTGAGACAAGCGGAATCATCTACTAAATGATCTTGAATTCTGACAAAACTTTTTACATCAGAATAATAAAGAAATACTCAATTGCTCTATTTCCTACAAAATTAGTTTATAATTAGTGTTTATAAAATTATGCAATTTATGTTTGCAACAACCTAATGGATGCTCTTTACGAAATTCCGTACAATCCATAATGATTTACGTCTTTTAGTTTGGCCAGGATGTGGACGAGAACGAGAACTTTTTGGTGCACACTGTTTAAACTATCTGGAAGCCGTGCAAATTACGATTTAAGTACTCGCAAGCGTTGCATAATGGGAGGATGGCCACGTATTTTGGGGCTTTCGCCACTTCGCGAACTCCCCTCTATTAGCGCGCCCTGTACCCCGCTCGAAAGACCGAGCCAGATTTTTAATTGGATAATCCGATTCCTTGATTAAATCTGTATTTGTTTAATTGGGTTTTCGCCTTAGTCGCCGTCGCTAATTAATATCTATAATTAAATTCGTTCGAGGCGCGGCATTAACTAGCATGAAATTGAATCACATAATCAATGCAATAATCTGCGCTTTGTATATTCTTTTACTTTTGTTTTTCTTTGTTTTTTCTGTGTGCACGTATACTGCCCTAAGCGTCCTGAACAAAGCATCAACGAGGTGCCCTGGAAACGATTCACTCCCAATTATTTTCCTCCCTTTTCTGGTCTCGAAATAATTAGGTTTCAGATCGCAATTCCTAAGCTGACATATGTCTGCGCTAATGGGATGCTATTAGGTTAAGTTGCGTACACAACCAACCTCAATTAAGTTACAATTTTCTTTCAGATCTTTGATATAATTATATTTACTTGTTACGCTCAATTTGTCTATTTACTTATAAAATTACGCATGTTTCAATTGAAAACCTAAAACTAGCTTATTTTAGAATAAACATTAATTCAATCGAAGTTGTTTAAATTCATTGCAAATTTTTGAGTGTTTATGCTAAACAAAATTTGATGCACCAATGATGCGATGGAACATCAAAAGGTTAAAAAAAAAATATATATATATATGGGAGTAACGTAGCATACGTAGAAACATCATAAGTTTATGCAGGAGAAATTTACGAGGGACAAAGGAAACGCACGATGAAATATTCAAATTTAAGAAATTGCATCAAGACAAGGAGAAGCCGCTCGCTACAATGAATACATAACCCGGTTTGTTATAGCTAGAGACGCGACCGACGCGGCGCGGTTTGGTCGTGCCATATTAATATCACATTTGTATCATTGCTTTCCTTGAGGAAGAGCGAAGAGATAGACAGGAAGAAAAATGTATAATGAAAAAATTTGTAGTAAAATATTAAATATGGATCATATCTTTTTATTAGCGAACATGAATCGAAAGTGCATCCCGTTTTACGTTGTTCTTTCTTTAAAATCTTCTTTGTAAATATCTTATGCAAATTAATGTTTGTCTTAGGATTAATAGTATAGAAAATCGATATGTGAATATTAAATTAAAAAAATATATATTAGAGCAACTGAAAATATTTGTTATATACTAAGGAAATGTAGTAAGAGAATGATAAAGTAAATAATAAGATAGTGGAACTTACCGTAAGGACACAGGCACTGATACATCGATCCTTCGTGTCCTTGTGAGATGTCAACGCAAATGCCACTGTTCGTGCAAGGGTTGGGGAAGCAGGCGTCCTGTTCCTCGCAATGCGGTCCCACGAAGCCGGGACAGCATTGGCATTCAAAGCCCTCCTGTAAAACAAACAACTTATGCACATCGAGAATAGATCTTCAAAACATACACGTCACGACCACATGCTATACCTGGACCAGAAAATAACCATCACCGCAACAAATCAAGTTATGTCCAACACAATATGAACAATAAAATCAATCATATTTACAACTTATTAGTTTCTTAATATATAGGTATCCCCTTACTTACGAACTCCCAGACTTACGAACAAAATCCTAAAAGTTCTAACTTGTTACAAGGAGATGTAACAAAAATTGATAATTTATTTAATAAAATATAATATTTTTTGAAGATGTACTATCTGTTTTGTTGCTTTTGCTCCATGGTAAGATAAGTATATTCGACTTACGAACAATTTTTTGGAACGGAACTAGTTTGTAAGTCGGAGGACACCTGTACTTACTAATAAAACTTTTATTATAAGTTTTGCATACTTTGATCAAATTGTGTAGTTAATATTGAATATATATATATTCTTGATTTGTTGTTGAACTTATTACGAAGTGGGGTGTGATTTGGATGATGAAGGCAAATCGAGTTTCGCAACTCAATAAGATAAATAAAGTTGTATCCCAGTGGAGTTGATATAATAATAATATTGGAGAATAGCAAGAAATAATTGAAATCGGATTGAATATTTTGGCGTTGGTCAATAATATTTAATGTAAAACAAAATAATTAATATAGGGCCCTTTATGCAATTTCAGCATTTACAACGTGAATTTTATATTCATTTAATGGCAATTCGTGTATACATTTCGCATTTACGTTTTATATTATCCGGCGTTTATATATTTGCAATGCTTTCACGTGGATAAATAACATCACAGATTCGGTCTGCGAGCTGAATAAATAGGAGTTCGTAACCGACGTGAGCGGATTAGACATTGTTCGAATCGAATGGAAAAATATTTTTATTCTATTTACAGTAACCGGTGTCGATTTAAATATAAAATACTACAAACATATGCGAAAACACGGATACAAGCTTTTTGATGTTTTGCAATGGAATAAAACGAAAACTTTATATAATTTATACTTTGAATGCAACAATTGCCAAGGACATCGTTTGATATTGCAGGTAATTACATCTGTCCACAGCATAATCTGTATCCGATCGTGCATAATATTGTATGCCTGTTGGAGAGAGAAAGCTATTGATTGATCACATTTCTTCAATTCGGACACACCAAAAGCGCTGGGCAAAATCAAAGGACATGAAATAATAAAATTGTATTCCAACTGGATGGACTCAGTAGGATTCTCTTGAAGATGCAAAGGATGTTTCTTTCGGTATTACGTATGCACACTCACGTAATAATTCGCGTGCATTTGTGTTGATCCTAGCTGTATGGAAAAACCAAATGGAAATTTCGAATAAAGCAATTGCAGGATTTGACGCGTTGGTTGGACACTTGTTTCAAATAACAAGTTTATTTTTCATTTGCGAACAACACGAACTCAAAATATAATGGTCTTGGAAATGGGAAATTTATTTGCCATGTGATTTTGGTTATCTTACCATTGAGGAGTTGGAGAAGCACAGACCCTTTCCGGAGCAATCCTCGTTCTCGCCGCAATTGTCGGATTTGACGACCACTTTAAGACGAACGCACTCGCTGTCCCATGATTGAGAGACGACTGGAACAAGATTTTGATGTTCTGATTTCTTAATGAGATCGTTTGTAAGGCTATTTACCTATGAGCAAGTTGATGCCTTCGGTTAGGTCCTTGTCGTACAGAGTGACAACCTTGCGGGCATCGATCTTCAGAGGTGTTATGTCCAGCAGGACACCCTCCGTCACATCGCAGTTGTCGTGGCCAGTGCGGGTCACCTGATATACAGCAGTCGGCGGTTCGTGCATCATCCTGCAAAATCATATTAGTTCCATCATCGCAAATCGATCAACCCCATCATCGTTTGCAGTTCATTTCCCAATGCGATGCGCCACTAATTTCATACTTAAACACCATGAATTCCCCAATCCCATTATCTTTTCATATTTCATATACACCAATATTTCAATCATATAAGTCTATACTATCAATTACAATATAATTATAAAATTAATTAAAACTTTAATACACACTTATATAAAATAACCATTAAGAGATGAATAAATAATATGGCTTATACCTTTCATGATCCAAATCTCTGGGTTCGCTTTGATTCACATGAGATTCCTGTCGAAGTAGATGGGAGTCATCAATCCTCACCAACAGGACGTCACCACTTTGAATCTCGATGGCGCCATCCCAGCTGAGGGTAGCCGGGGTACACAAGGGACGACTGGTGCCGGATGTATCGCAGTCACCACAGTCTTCCGGTATCTGAATTAAAAAAAAAAACATCAAGATTTTGCTTTAAACAAACCCATAAAATCATTTATGCGCCGTTTAATACCATTAGAGACGTTCCCGATTTATAGTAAAAAGATTTTTACTTCTCACAATAAAATGTGTAAATAGAAGAATGTTTCAACAACCACTATAATATGCATTTACCAGCAATAAAAAAAAAACCGGTTGATAAACAGTTTCATGTGAACATGTTTTCAGTTTTCAATAGAGGGAACAAACCAACAAACACTAGGGTTTTGGTCTTTTTATTACATTTCCTGCATGGTTGGACTTGCATGCTATAATGAAAATGCCTCTAATGGACTTCATGGGACTGCACGAAGGCAGCAAATCTTCTTCCGACTGATTGGAAAGCATTGCAATAAGGAATACTGAATTGCCTTTTAGTCGATATTGCTATTTTCCATACGCATAAATACGCTTCGAAAATACCTCTCTATTTATCCCTGCTTTCAGCGCCAGTTCCGTCGTCTCCCTTTCCCTATTATTCTTCTCTCTCCCTCTTTTCCTTTTTATGTATGTATGTATGTATAAGTTTTTTTTTTCTTTGGAGGAAGGTTATAAATCCCACCCTGCGATACATTCTCATCGTTGAAATGATATTTTAACACACCTGCACGTAACACACAATGCCAGTTAAATCATCCCTTGGCACAAACGCCTCTGCAGCATCCATACATCCTCTAACACCATCACCTAAGCCTTTCAAGGAAGATCCAAGCAGTGACAACCTCTCCATGTTTCACATTCTAAAACTATTTCCTTGTTGTTGCTACTTCTTATTTTATTCAATACTCTCACTATAAGTCTGTAACAAAGAGGAACTACGAAAATTGCATTTCTCTCAACTATGAAATATAGAGGAAAATAAACTTATAGAAAAGCATATGCTCAAATTCAAAACTTTTAAATTTCACTAACAACTAAATTTACACTAAAACTACATTACTTATCTTAATTAAGTCATAGTTTCAATAAAAATGTCATCATTTTTATTATTGTAAAAGTGTTTTTTTTTTTCAATTAACAATAATGCTATGAGAAAAAGGAAACGGTGCAAATCGTTATTTGATGCTCTCCCCCTGGAAAGTGAATACTAAATAAATTGGATATAACGAAGAGCTCGCAAATATAAAAACCCGACCCAGCAGATAAGGAGATTTTCGTGCTTTATTAGCGCCGTTTCGTTTTAGTATATTTACACCGCAAGACCTAAATTTATCCGCACAACTTGCATAACTCACATAAACTTCGTACTTTATTCAAATAAGCCGAAACAATTTGCGGACCATCACTTCTACTATTCCAGTTTACTTTTAATTCCAACCCAGACAGTCCATAAAAACAAAAGATGACCCTGAGAATTGTAATGAAAATTTTAATTACAATTTAATTTACAATAAAGAAATGAATGCTAATGTATTATTTTATAATAAAGAGTAAATAGATGTATTAATTCTTATTAGAGTAAAACATTTTATAAGTTTCATATATTTCAAGCATCTTATATGTGTCTCATAACTTTTCAGATTTCAACTTGAAGGTTTTATAAAAAAAAAATCGATGAGAACAAGTGCACAATTAGCTAAATCCTTTAAGCAGTAGCTGGATATAAGGAAGAAGGGAAAGAAAGCAAGTACTGCCAGTACATAAATATAATAGAATCCGAAGCGATTGCAGCAGAATCTCCAGGAGATCCTCGAATACGAGCATCGTAACAATGGTCATTATGGATGCGGCTTTCGTTAATGCGCTTTCTGCGTTCGGCAAGGGTGGAGGTTAGGTGATCCAGTGTTGTTTGGACGTGCTGTGTGCTTGTGACTGATGCAAATGAGCGAAAAATCTTCTAATTAAACTCGAAGAGCTCCGCTGAAAAGCCCGCGTCTCCAAATAGAAAATATGGAATACAAGTCCGCATCTTTCGTTCCCTTTTATTATTGCGAGCGGAATAAATAGACGCGGGTTTAAGGGATGATGGCTTTAAAAAATAAATGCGCTCGCAGTAATGAATGTCTGGGTCGATGGTGAGGAGACATTGTTATCGTTTTTACTTGAATGGATGCTCGCGTTTTCTTGTGTGAATGTGTGTTTGTATGGAGCGCTTCTTTATCCAAACGACAAAAAAAAAATATGAAGAAGAAGAAGAAGACGAGAACGTATTGAGGTAAGAAATAGAGCATCAACATATCGCACCTTTCTGCTGCTGAAGCGCTCTTGACAAAATGGAAATCGAGGAATAATGTTATCCCATCCGTGCACTTCGCACCACCTCCATTTATATACGAGGTCGCCTTTTCGTCCTCGAGAGTGACTAATTAAAATGCAGAATCCTTTTCTGAAGAATTAATAAACATTTTTGGAAGCGTGCAAACAAAATAAAATAAAATAAATAAATGAAGAAGAAAAGATGCACCGTAAACTGTTTGCGCTGTGTTTAATTAAATCCTATTAAAACATCGAGAATTGCCTGCGCTGATTCCCTCCGGAATTGCGATGGATGAATTCCAGGAATGTCGTCTCGTTTTCGACTAAATTAATTTTCAACTTTTACGTGAATACCGGACAATGGCTTTTGTGGTTTGCACCCTCCATAATCCAGTCGATTAATGCAATCCAACGTTGTAAAGATAGATGTGATCATGTTTCATCAATACTCTGGATCCAATCGATTAACCAAAACCGCTCTGGTCTGTGGTAACATTTAATTGGGAATTATTTTTGGAAACCGCGACGATCAATTCCAATCGCTTAATAAATAGTATTTCTCTCTCTCTGTAATTTTTTTTTTTCGTTCTCAGATCATTTATGGCTTATTTTTCGGAGCCGAACGTTCCATTTCCTCGAGCCGGTCGTTATTGATTTAGAAACTGGCTCCTCTTTTCCTCGCTTGGTTTTTCGCATACAGCCCATGGGCACAATCGCCACTTATCTCGAGATAACGCATTTCTCGCCGCTTCGGCCCTTCAGCCTTTCCACCTGGCTATACTACTACCAGATCAAGCTGTCGATCTTATCTTACACCGCCAAAGAAACCCTCCGGAAATTACCGCAATTTGTTACTGCCCTCCGGAACACCCTTACTTATGTCATCTCTTCCACCTTATTATCTTAACATGTTATCGATTTCAACGAAACTTTCCTAATATACACACATTTTTCACGAATTCATAGCAAAAGAAATATCAATTGCCCGGCACATCCACCAATTTATCAAAATCATGAAAATATAAATGCTTAAATTCCAATAAATTTTGTAATTATAATATAACTTTATTAAAATTATAGAAGTAATTCCGAAACTACAACTTATTTACACAACATTAATTACATATATATATTTAACTGGAAACCCCAAGCAGAAATTTGCCTCTCTGAAAACTTCTTACATACACTCCGTACTCCATTCACTACATCAAACATCCAACTTTTTGTTAATTACTATACGATATTATACCAGTAATGAAGTAGTACCTTATAAGTTAGAACTTCTGAAAAGACCATCGACCACGAGGTATTAAAACTTGCTAGTCCATTAAATCGGTCCACTTAATCGATATAAATATCGAGTCTATATCGCAAGCCCGACAACCGAAATTGAAATTCCGACTGTATCGAAATCCCGACTATATCAAAATCTCGACAACCATAATCCGGACTGTAACAAAATCTCGAAAACCATAATCCCGACAAACATAATTCCGACTGTATCAAAATCCCGACTATAACGAAAATTTTTGCTATAACATTTTTAAATGTGTAGTCACCTTGAATTACACTTTTATTATTAATAACAATAAATTATTATTAATTTATTTAATTGTGTTGAATTATTCATAATAAATTTTAACATTATGTAATAATCTCAAATACAATTAGATTATTAATTGTTATTATTTATTATTAATAACAATTTAAAACTCACTACGGTTCGGAATAATTTTAAAATGTTATTGTTGACATAGTCGGGATTTTGATACAGTCGGGATTATGGTTGTCGGATTTTGAACGTCGGGAATTTGATTGACGGTATTTCGATTGTCGGGCTTGCGATTGCCACCGATAAATATCACATAGAAAGTCTCACATATAATGTTATAACTCTCGCCAGCCGTCACGTAGATGCTACCTGCGCCACTCGCAATTCAAAATTATATAAGTAAAAATAAGTATTGTATTATATAATATGTATTATATATTTTGCGTTTTACTTGAATTTCTGACATATTATCGATATCCACCTTAACTGAACCACAAAGGGTTGGATCCCTTTAATGTAAGACCCAAACTATCCTATAATACAGTCCAGAATTTGCAGCGAACTGGAACAGCGTTTGATCCCTCGTTTTAATTATATACTTTGTACGTCAATAGAACCGTTCTCAATTACGCACAAAAAAAAATTATAAACTAGGTAACGAACAACGTTCATCCAAGTTTATTTAAAATGAAAATTCATTATAAATTTAAAATTTGTTATATCATTTTTCCCTTGTGTTCTTAACGAAATATTATACAGTGGAACCTCGTTTAACGAGCGCCTCGCATTTCGCTTAACGAACAAAATAAGAAAAATGACTCGCTTAACGAGTGACGTTTCGCATAACGAGTGACGATGAGAAGATAAGTCCCGGATTTCATTTTTAAAACTTGTGTATTGTATTATGTATATTTTTTAATATGTTTCAGTTTGGATTAAACAAGTTAATCGAGGTTCCACTGTATTTACATAAAATATAAGTAAATAAGAATAATAATGAAATTAATCATTATAAAAGTTATAACAATATTGTGAAATAGGATAGTTTGAAAGTTTGTTGAAACAATGAAGGTTATAATGAGGGATCATTTTCAAGGCAAGTTCAAAGTTGTTTCTCTTTATTAGTTTAAAACAAAATGAAATGTTGAAGTTTCGCTATGAATATTTTCTGAATTTGTTACTGAAAATAACTGTAGTTTATTATAAATCATAA